GGGGGGGTGATATATTACAATGGCACCTGGAAGTGGGTGGGATATATTAGGCAGCAAGTTAACATTTTGTCCCTAAAGCTGATGTGTTGGATGTGTGAACATTTTGTCCCTGAAGCAGATGTGTGAACATTTTGTCCCTGAAGCAGATGTGTGAACATTTTGTCCCTGAAGTAGAACAAAATGGGCAAGTGTAAGGATATGAGCAACTTTGACAAGGGCCAAATTATGATGTCTAGATGACTGGGTCGGGGCAACTCCAAAACTGCAGCTCTTGAGGGATGTTCCCGGTCTGCAGTGGTCAGGACCGACCAAAAGTGGTCCAAGGAAGGAAAACCGGTGACCCAGCAACTTCGAAGCCTTGGTTCACATCTATACAGGGAATTTTGTAACTTCATGCAGTGCCCGAGCAACAGGAACAGTTTATCTGTGTCAGCCTAATGACTGGGTTTATATTTGCTTAATTGATTCCGGCCTGTACTTTGGATTATTCTTCAGTTTGCCATCTGCCTTGACCCGTGATCTGTCTGTCGATGCTTCTATCTGTCTCAACCCCTGGCCTGTTGGTCAATGCTGCCTGTCTCAACCCCAAGCCTAGTGATAGGCAACTTTGGCTTTCTAGCTGTGGTGAAACTTTAAATTCCATCATGCCTCTAGGAGTCATGCTTGTGGTTGTCAGAGTATTCCAATGTCTCATGGGATTTGTAGTTTCACCACAGCTAGAGTATCGAGGTTGGCTACCCCTAGTCTAGCCTATGCGACTATGTTTCTGTCTGTTGCCTGCCATGACCCCTAGCCTGGCTGACTATGTGTCTGTCTGTTGCCTGCCATGACCCCTAGCCTGGCTGACTATGTTTCTGTCTGTTGCCTGCCATGACCCCTAGCCTGGCTAACTATGTTTCTGTCTGTTGCCTGCCATGACCCCTAGCCTGTCTGACTATGTGTCTGTCTGTTGCTTGTCATGACCCCTAGCCTGCCTGAATATGTTTCTGTCTGTTGCCTGCCAGGACGCCCAGCCTGGCTGACTATGTTTCTGTTTGCTTCATGCTTTGACTTCTTGCCTGTACAACTGTGTTTCTGCCTCTTAATTTGATTCTGCTCCACTCCATTCAGCTCAGCATCCTCACCACTATCAGCTCTGAAGGAAACCTAATACACATGGTTGTGCTTTGCATTGAGTCTGTAACAGTGAGTGCTCACTGACTATGACAAATGGAGCGTGCCTTCAAATAACTACATGAATAAAACTGCACTTTATAAAATTCAGTGAACACATGACAACTCTTTTAGATTTATAGTATGTTTTCTACTAGACCTTCTTCTGAAAATGCCAGTTACCTGACCCTCACTGGCATCAATATTTTTGGAGTCACTGACTGGTGTACATCAAGATTTATATTGTGTATAGCAGCAAAATTCACTGGGCGGGGGGTGGCATTTATCAATGTTGCATTCGTGTCTGTAAATGTGCCGCATTTTGTGTATCTTTTTAAAAAAGCAACACATTTACTGTACTGTACTGTTGCAATTTAATGTCAATGGAACTTCGGGTTCGGCAAAGGCGGGGCGATTTCTAAACATGTTGCGCGACAATTTCATGGACCAGATGGTGGAGACTCCTACCAGAAAAAATGCCATCTTAGATCTAATTGTCACTAATAATGCAGAGTTAATCGAGGATATTGTAATTGGGGAGTCATTGGGTAATAGTGATCACAATGTGATTACTTTTAATATTGAACACAGAAAAGATGTCTCAATATGTTCTGTCTGCTGTTTTGTCTAAATATGCAAAACAAAGGCAGATTTGCTTTACTTTGGTATAACCCCAAAATTGCCACAAACTGGCCACACAATTGCCTCTGATGTAATTTTAACACAGTGTCCTACTTTAGTTCCATCACTACTAGTTGTCCCCATTGCCCTATGCTATGGCACTGGTATCAGGAGCCCAACCTGGGTTCCCAGGGCAACCTTGCCCCTATCAGTCAGGAGTGCCCTTGGAAAGGGTATCAGGTAGGGAGGGGGTTCGCAGTTACCAGTGTGTGAGACACTACTTGATTTTCTCATCTTGGGCCTGTCCAGGAGGGTTCATGTAGGAAGTAGCCATTGCCTTGTGGGCTTCCCCTTAGGGGGGAAGCATAAGGACATTCTCCCACTCATGGTGACTTTTCTATACCCATTGCAGGATGCATTTCTCTCTCTGAGTTGTTCACCTGATAACTAGAACTGTTGTAACTGTTGAAGCATTATGTTACCATTATCTAGTATGGCTGAATTTCTTTATAAAGGGGCCTGTTGTAAACTCTATTTATACTAATGGAGGACTACTCTTGGGCATGGACTGGGGAAAGAACCAATGTTGGCAGTGGTAGCAGGCTGATTGGAGGGCCCAGCTCCTTGTCAGGCTAGACTGGGTCGTTACCCAGGGTGTCCCAAAGATAGTGACGATTTGGTGTTCCACTCTGTGAGGAATGGGAACCCCGTTAAGCTCCATGCTAATGAACTACAAATACACCTTAGGACAGCATAATGCCAGAAAAGGAATAGTTAAACACATGGAACAAGGAGTTAATGTACACTACACCTGCTCTCGCTCCATAACACAATTTTAAACATAACATAACTCCAAATATTCACAATTTTGCCTAAAATCAGCCCTATAAAATAATAGTTTTATAATGATATACACTGAGTGGCCAGATTACTATGACCACCCCATCAGTACTTCGTTGGGCCGCCTCGTGACTCCACGAGATGTTGAAAGGTGATGCGAGGAATCTGACACTGCACTGTTGCCCTTCTGTTGTCTTGTACCAGTCTTGCCACTCTCCGTTCTGCCCTAACACTGACTAGTCGCTGACGGCCACAATTCGCACGTTCAGACCCAGATTTTCGGCTGACAGTCCAGTCTTTAAACACTTTAACAACAGCTGCTCTTGAACATTTAACGAATTCTGCTATTTTGCTGATACTGGCTCCATGGCTCGTGCCAACAATCATCACACGTTCAAAGGCTGTTAAATCGCGTTGTTTCCCCGTATCGTCAGAAAAAAAATCACTTCTACTGTCGTGGTAAACAACCTGCTTCCCTATTTATAATGGTCTGGCCCTCTAGCAACTTCAGCGCAAAATTATAGCTAGTTATAGCTAATTTGCCTACAAACGTCAGGTGGTCATAATAAACTGGCCACTCAGTGTATTCTAGGATGATTTGCCTGTATCATACACACTGTATGCAAATGTTACTCAGAAATGAATGAAGGTTAAAAATAAAAAGCATTACAAATGGTATATTTATGATTTTTGTATTTTAGCATAATTTGCCTGGACTCCTACAAACCGAGAAATCCAGGTTTATGAAGAAAGAGCAAAGGACTCGAAAATTCGAAAACGGCCGGAATCAGAATTACCAGCTCACCCTTTTTCATCTGACCTTCAAGAAAAACTAACCGGTTGCTATGGGATACTGCATTTGTCTTTCACATTCAGACTTCTCATCTATTTTCGGAGACAAGTGTCTACAACAAGTCCTACCCTTTACTGTCCCAGCAGAAGTTTCTATGCTTTATCTACCACAGCTAAGCCCTGTTGGGAACACAGCCTTTAATAATGAAAGGGCTAGCTCATCCATGCAAAAGAGAAACGTCCTCAGCACACCAAATTCCTTAAAGGATCATCATGGTGGATTTATTGAGGACTCATGTCAAATACACAAGCGTTTTCGGGGCAATGCAGGGTCCCTTCATCGGGTATAGCAAAGTCCGTGCCATTGCTATGCCTGATGAGGGGACCCTGCGTGGCCCTGAAAGCGCTTGTGTATTTGACACAAGTCCTCAATAAATCCATGATGCTGTAAGGAATTTGGTGTGCTGGTGACAATTCTCTTTTACATTTACTATTGGCGGCACCATCCGCAGTCATTCCAAGCACCCTTCCCCGAATGCGGGGATTTCCGATAAGAAGTGCAACAAGTCTTCTTTTTCTTAGCCTATCCATGTGCCCCCTTAGTGTCCCTTCTAAGCCATCTGTCCTAAGTACAAAGCTATTATTGGTCGTTGATTGCTATGGTAGTGAAATCCCGCATTACTTTAGTACATCAGCAAACCCCCAGCAATCCGGGTTTGCCTTAAACCCACGCTCAGCCCAAACCCAAAGCTCATCCCTAAATATAACCATAACAGGTTTATTTACCAAAGGGTGAAGAGTTTGGGGAAGGCAGGAGAAGTGAAAAATCTAGGACAACATACTTTAGCTGATTTGGAAAAATTATCCAATTCATCTCACTGTCCAGTTCAGCTATGTTGTCCTAGATTGTTCACTTCTCCTGCCTTCTCCTAACTCTTCACCGTTTTGTGAATAACCCTGTAAATGTTATCAATCATCAAAGGCATAACATGAATGAAAATCATAGACATAGCATGCAAAGCATGAAATATTTACAGGGTTATTCACAAAAGGGTGAAGGGTTTGGAGAAGGCAGGAGAAGTGAACATTCTAGGACAATATAGCTGAACTGGAAAAAGAGCTGAATTGGAGAATGTGCCCAAATCAGCTATTTTGGCCTAGATTGTTCTCTTCTCCTGCCTTCTCCAAACTCCTCACCCTTTTGCGAATAACTCTGTTAATTTCATAAAACCAACAAACCTGACTCATGTTCCTGAACCTCAGCCTAACCTTTAAACCCCACCCATAGATTCATGTCTTAGTAGCGACAATCTCAGTAAGTTCCAACTCATCTTTTCCTATGGCGTTACTTCTGAAACTGTCCAAAGTAGCAAGGTGTCCCTCCATCACTGGTCCCTGGATAGCATGCAAGGTTCTCCATTTTTTGGGGCAAGTAACAGAGAGAATTCCATAAGTGTAAGTTGCAAGTTGGAGATTCTGCCACTGTCGAGGTGACATTAGAAGCAGAATTGCCAGTGTTACATGGTGTTAACCCCTAAAACTAACCCTACACCTCAAGCTATATTTTAAAGGTATCTTTAGAAAAAAAAATTATTTTGAGTTCTGAAAAGAGTAGGGAAATGTTAAAGCTTCTGTCAGGTTTTTATTGCTCATATAGTAGAAAGAGCCAACACCCCATAATGAGCCTATTGTTTATTGAGGGCTCAGTACACAAGGGACAAAGAGAAAGGGCCAAAAACATGCTCCACCACTGAGAAGCAACATGTTTTGGGACTTCTTCCTTGTCACTTGTTTTGTTGAGCTGGGACTCATGATTAGGTGCTGGCTTTTTCTAATTTATCAGCTATGATATGGTATTACCAGCAGCTGTTCACTGCCTCTCAGTGGTGTTCAGGGTCAGGTGCTACGTGGAATTGTCTGTAGGCTTTTATTGCTGTCTTTGTTTCTCCATGGAAGTGAAGGGAAATGTAAACTTTTACAGTTGTCACCAGAACAGGAGGCAAGAGGAAATGTTCCCCTGTGGTTGAAAACAATCGTTGATTTGACCCCATTGACTAGTAGAAAATCAAATGGACGTTCCAAAAACGAGATTGTGCTTGCCGGGGACAGCCGCATCTGTGATTGCTCCTCCTCCTTCTCCTCTTCCGGCGGCTCCCTGACACCGTGCTGCCCCTGGTGAGACACCATAGCCCAGACAGCCCTGAGTATCGCACAGTCCACCTGAGAGTCGCACAGCCCTCCTGAGTGTTGAACAGCCCACCTGAGAGCCCCCACAGGCCACCAGCCCACCTGGAGACATCGGGGCGCCAACCCAGAACAACACAGAGTATGTAACTTCATATTATTTTGTATTGCTGTATAATCTATTTCTGGGATTTGTAGTTCTCTATAGACTGTCTCCTTACTCCCTCTCCTCTACATTCTCAAAAACAAAATTGCCGCACACGACGCTAGGGTGTTCGGGTTTCACTTGAAGAAAAGGTGGCAACCGTATCCAAGACGGGAAGGTAAGTTTAATCACCCCAGATAGGCCACAAAAAATGTCCGACAAGGGTTGTGACTAATGTATACACTTTCTATATACACTTTTACCTCAGGTGATATTTATTCTATCACAGCAGAAGTAGCAACATTTCTCTCCAGCAGCGTTTAGTATAATACAGCAAAAAAAAATTAAACTCAGGTTGTATAGTCTGTAATGTTCACAGTGAAATATACGAGTTAAAACAATCTTAATCTATTTCGGATTAAAAACAGAAGAAGGAAGGCTGCCAAACAACACACTGCAATGCACTCATCGTCTCTTACAGCTACAAAGAATATTTGCACTTAAATTTGTAATACTTTATAAGCTTATTGTAAGTATTGAAGTGTTTTTATATTTTTTTCTGGAGTACTTACGGTTGTGCGTAGGCTCCAGCCAGAAGGCCCAGCAGGGCGAGGCACACAGCTCTGCACCCCATCATCACACGCAGTACACTGCCTGCTGGGCAACTGGTTTTTATACTGGCTGAGGGGTGGACAGAGCCCAGGGCAAACAGTCAGAGAGCAGGAGGAGTCCCAGGCATTTCCAAACTCTGTCATTTCCAGTAAAAGCCTATTACACAACAGATACACAGGGATTGTATGTCCTTCAAAACTAACTGATATACACATTTAACATTCCACCTTTGTCCGGCACCATTACAGAAACACACAGCGAGAGTCAAAAAAAACCAAACAGTATTCTATACCTTCCCAAGTCACACATCACGACTAAGGCTCCATTCACACAGGAGTGGTTGTCCGATCGTATTCGTACGGCCGAATACACGCGGAACCGCTCCACACATAAAAAAACAATGCACTTTAATGTGCAATGTTCAGTCTTTTGCGGTGAACGTGTGGTACGAAACCGTGCATCCCGCAAAAAAGAGCGATTTGCACGTTAGCAGCTTTATGGCTTGTTCACACCAATTGCGGTGTGGAACGCACTGCAATCGCTCACAAATCTTCCCTCTGTGTTCTGGGGCGGGAGGGGGCGTGGTAGTGCATTGAAGTCAATGGCACCGCAACCACACACCCCTGCCCGCAGTGCGATCGGACGCGTGGCAAAACATTGCCTGCGTTCCGTTCCACTGCAAACGCAAAAAATAGAGCAAGCAGCATTTTCTGCATTTGTAGTGGAACGTAACGCAGGCGATGTTTTGCCACACATCCGATCGCACTGCGGGCGTGGCTGCTGTGCCATTGGCTTCTATGCACTGCCACGCCCCCTCCTGCCCCAGACATCGCCGAGATCACTTGTACAAAACAGTAGGGCTATCGCCACATTGCAAGGGTTATCTGCTCACTTATGCCTATGGAAGAGGCAAAAGCTCTGGCGGTCTAAGGGCCTCTGATGTCATCAAGTACAACACAGGCCCCATAGTCCTGCATTGTATGGGGGGGCACTGAGGGAAAGCCCACAGGTGGGGAGGAAGGGGAGAAGAGGAGAGCGCCCAATCCGGGTGAGCGGATATCAGGTAAGTTAAATAGCTTTCTCCTGTCCCCTAGGTCTATGCAGGGGCAGCCTCAATGCAAGGGAAAATTTAATTTGTTATTCTATACTTACTAAGCCCCCTTTTCACATGGCCCGTCCGATCAGGTCCCCTTGTCAGTTTTTTAAGTGCACCCAATCGGATGCCCAATGTAAGTCTATGGGCAGCCGTGTGTAAATGGGCGACCGTTTGCACCCGGTTACCCCCAACTCCAGCCAGGTCCAGAAAAACAGACGGAACAGTGTTCCTTTTCACCGGACTTGATCGTGCTGGATCTGGGGGGATCGGATGTAAAGGGACCTTTACATCCAATTCCCCATAGACAGACATGGGGTCCGCTAATTGCAGTCTTTTTCCTCCATCGCAAGATAGAAGAAAAAACTGTATGGACACGGATATCACAGAGGTGACATCCGCTCCGTACTGCTGTGATCGTGCAGGGATCCTCTCCTGATCAACCCGTGTGAAAGGGGCCTCACTCTACAGCAGGGGTGCCCATTAGGTAGATCGGGATCTACCAGTAGCTCTCAAAGCTGATGCTGGTAGATCAGGAAGGGTGTGAATGGCAGCCTCTTTATTCCATTTAGGTATATTTATTTAGCTGTGCACACATGATTACCTATTAGCCTGAGTCTGCTGAGCCACGCTCCCTGACACCTTGCTGGTGGATACTGGTGGCTGAAGTGCTATGTATTACATCAAAATACATTTTACCCTCCTTTAAATATTTGCCTTTTTACATGATGACGTAGCAGCCCTGCAGCAACTCAGACCAAACAGTAATTCCATGAGCTCGAGCACACACCTTAGATCTGCTCCTCAACTCCCTTCTCCCTCTACCTGCTCCTTCCTTCATGCAACACCTTGTAACTGACAAGTCCTTCTAAGCTCCTCTAAGCTTTTGCATTCCCATAGACTTGTATGGGGAGAAGAAAAGCCCATCACCACAGGCCCTTAGGGTTACAGGAAGGATTAGAGTTAGAGCTACATGGAGGATTAGCATTACATGGAGAATGATTGTTACAGTTGCAGTTACAGGATGGGGTAATGGGAAGTCTGAGGATACAAGGAGGTTTAGTGTGAGGGGTACAGGGAGAGGTAGTGTTAGGATTGGGGTTATAGGCAGGGTAAGCATTACAGGGAAGGTTATGTAAGTATTGGTGTCACAGGTAGGGTTAATGGGGAGGAGGGTTATGTTATTGTTGGGGTTATAGGGAGGGTTACTGTTAGCTTTAAAAGAAGGGTTATGTTATGGTTACAGGGAGGGTTGGTGTTAGGGTTACAGGGAACAATAGTGCTAACATTACAAGGAGGGTTAGATTACATAGGGGGTTAGAGTTAGCATTGCAGGGAAAGCTAATGTTAGTGCTACAGAATGGGTATTGTTAGGGTTACAGGGGGTGTTAGTGTTACAGGGAGGGGGAGTATTAGAATTACAGGAAGGGTTAGTGTTAGGGTTACAGGAAGGGTTACTGTTAATGTTACAGGGAGGGGTAGTGTTAGGATTTACAGTGATGGTCAGTGTTAGGGTTACAGGGAGGGTTAATATTAGTGTTACAGGGAGGGTTAGTGTTAGTATTAAAAGGGAGGGGTAGTGTTTGAGTTATAGGGAGAGTTAGTGTTAGGGTTACAGGAGGGTAAGGATTAGCGTTACAGGGAGGGTTAGTGTTAGGATTACAAGAAGAGTTAGTGTTACAGGGAGGATTAGTGTTACAGGGAGGGGTAGTGTTAGGGTTACAGGGAGGATTAGTGTTGGGGTTACAGGGGGGGGGGGAGTTAGGGTTGGGGAAATTAAAGGAAAGGTGATCTTAGAGTTACAAGGGGGTTAGGTTGGCTTACAGGTAAGCTAGTTGCTATGGGGGGGTGTCTACCCATATATATGTAAATGTATGTAACAAATACCTGTCTATGAAGAAACTGAGAAGCAGAAGTAAAAGGACTCTGTTCCTGGCTGGCAGATCAGAGTGCTGGGTAATTTTGATGAGTGAATATATGATACATCCCTATCTGTGCACCTCATTAGCTAGTTATACATTGATAAAGCAATAGAACAGTTTTTCTTTAGGGCCTGTTAATGGTTTCCTGGCTGCACCTGGCATCAATACTTTTTGAATCGCAGACCCGTAACAAGCATGCTGTAAATAATTGCCAACATAGTATCAGAATTCCTAAACTTGCATCTAGTCATAGACTTAGGAAGCACTGAAGCCAATGCATCAACATGACAGCCTGGTGAGTAGCATTTTCAGAAATGCAAAGGCAGCCTCCACGATTCCCAGCAGTGCTATAGCAGGTCTGTTAAGCCAACCATGAACTGAATTGGCTGAAATGTCATCTGTAGGTAGCCCTGTTGGCACCACAATAAACCTTCAGTTCGAAAATGGAAGGAGTCGGGAGGCAACATCGGGCACTGGCTGTCAGAATACAGTAGCTGACAGGGGAGATTCCTCCATCCACGCTGCTTAGCACTGATGGGGGATCTAGTGATTTTTCTTAAAGCTGGCCATAAACAATAGAATTTCATTCAAATTTTTCTTTTCCGGAACATTTGTCCGGTTTTCTAATAGTTAATGGGGTTATATGGACGATCATTTTCGATTGTAGTGATGAAAAAAAAAATCGAAGGAGCAGGATGGAAAATTTTAATTAAACAAACACAATTCTAATAGTGAATGTGTTTTTTTTTTTCGCTCGAGAAAACCCATTTATTGCAAAATCCAATATTCTAATTCATTGAAATGTTCAGCGCCATTGTGCAAGTCTCTGGTGGCATTATCGAATGTTCTGACGAGACTTTTCACATGAAAATCTAACAGTGTATAGAATGCTTAAGAAGTATGCAAGGCGTCCCGTGGCCAGGTGTCACCCGGAGTGGAGCCAGGGTGACACCCCACTGTGACATCATCTCGCATGCGCAGTTATCCAATTGACACCTGCCGGCGGCCATCTTTTTGATGGACGCTGGCAGAGAGAGGAGAGGACGTTCCCCCGGCGGGATGACATATGCCGCCGGGTCCCCTCCTCTCTCCTGACACCGTCGGGCTCTCGGTCAATGACCAAGTGCCCGACTTTTCTAGAAGTATGACTGTCAGTCATTTTGGTGTCACCCCTCCAATGGAGTCACTTGTGTGCGGGCCACACCCCCCGCACCCCCCTTGTGATGCCACTGGATGTATGGCAGATGTATGATGTATGGCAGATGCCACTGGATGTATGATGTGATGTATGGCAGCTTTAGAGCAGCAATTTGTCTCAACAAAACTCAGGGGTTGTGGGAGGCCGAGGACTGCATGCACTACAGGATCCCAAACAAATGGGGCATTTCCCATTAAACCCTCTTTAATCTGAAGCACCACAGGACCCTTCAGCTAAAAAGCTCTGCGGTTTAGTACATGCTTGGCTTCTCATTTTCTGCAAGTGGCAGGTTTGATTCCTATCAACATGTCCATTGTGTGCTATTTGCATAGTAAAGCTTCAGTGTTACAACACTCTGTTCTGTGTCGTGTAATACTAGTACATCATTTGTTCACGGTGAGGTAAACAGAGCTGAATCCTCTCTTTATTTCCTCAGGTGTAATTTTGTGCCAACATCCTTCTCTTGTGCCCATTCTTCTTCTGGTGGGGCCTACAAAAACTAGAAAATGTTTGCTTGGTCCGAGCACAGTCCAAGTGTGGGGGTAGCCCCACCGCAAGGGTTAATTTGTAAAATCCTGGAGTTGTTCTTTAAATAAAGTTTTTGCGCCCGGAGCTCAGCTTTGAGAACCTTAAAGGAGAACTATGAGGTGAGTGATTTTCACTCATCCTCATAGTTCGAGCCGACATGTGACAATGAAACTGTCACACGTCGGCTCAAAAGATCGGGAAGTGAGCGAACACATACCGTTGCTCGCTCACTTCTCGATCATCTCCCTGCAGAGAGCCGAGATTGTCAGTCACAGCTCCCTGCAGGGATACCCCTCTGG